GGGGGGCTGGGAGTAAGGGCTGGGGGTGCTGCCTCCTTTCCTGGGGGCTGTGGGTACTAATGGGGGGCTGGGGGGGCAGACCCTGTCCCTGGGGGGCTGTGGGTGCCAATGGGGAGCAGGGGGCCAGGGCTGTGGGTGCAGACCCCATCCCCAGGGGGTTGTGGGTGCTGATGGGGGGCTGGAGCTCTGGGTGCTGACCCCATCCCCGGGGGGCTGTGGGTGCAGCCCCTGTCCCTGGGGGGGCTATGGGTGCAGATCCCACCCCCACGGGGCTATGGGTGCTGATGGGGAGCAGGGACCAGGGCTGTGGGTGCTGATGGGGGGCTGGGGGTGCTGCCTCCATCCCCATGGGGCTGTGGGTGCAGACCCTCTCCCCGCAGGGCTCTAGGTGCCAATGGGGAGCAGGGGGCCAGGGCTGTGGGTGCAGCCCCTGTCCCTGGCGGGGCTATGGGTGCAGATCCCATCCCCATGGGTCTATGGGTGCCGATGGGGAGCAGGGACCAGGGCGGGGGTGCTGCCTCCATCCCTATGGGGCCGTGGGTGCAGCCCCCGTCCCCGGGGGGGCTGTGGGTGCTGACCCCGTCCCCACAGGGCTGCAGACCATCACCAACCAGCGGAAGGGGCAGTGTTACGGGGTGGCAGCGAGCTGGCCGGCCGAGCGGCGCCGGCGCCTGGGCGTTCAGATGCTGCACCGGGCCATGCGCATCTTCCTGGCCGAGGGCGAGCGGCAGCTCCGGCCACACGACATCCAGGGTGGGCACTGAGCCACCCCGGGAGGGGTGGGAGCACCCCCTGCCCGAGGAGGTGGCCGTGGGGGTTGGGTTTTTACGTCGCAAACACTGGCAAGGATTTTTTTTTTCCTATTTTTCTATTTCCCTTCAAGGGCGATAAATAAAATCACTGCGGGTCGGTTTCACTGAATTTCACTGAATTTCTAGAGTTGGAAGGGCCCATAGAGATCATCTAGTCCAACTCCCCTGCTAAAGCAGGACCACCCAGAGCTTGTCAGAGCATGTTACTCAGGAGCATCCAGGCGGGTCTTGAAAATCTCCAAGGAAGGGGACTCCACACCCTCCCTGGGCAGCCTCTGCCAGGGCTCTGCCACCCTCACTGTGAAGAAGTTTCTCCTCATATTTGAGTGGAACCTCTTCTGGTCCAACTTGTGCCCGTTGCCCCTCGTCCTCTCACTGGGAACCACTGAAAAGAGTCTGGCTCCCTCCTCCCTCAACCCTCCCTTGAGATACTTGTAGGCATTGAGAAGGTCTCCCCTCAGCCTTCTCTTCTCCAGACTAAAGAGTCCCAGCTCTCTCAGTCTCTCCTCATAAGGGAGATGCTCCAATCCTTGAATCATCTTTGTTGCCCTTCGCTGGACTCTTTCTAGTAGTTCCCTGTCCCTCTTGAACTGGGGAGCCCAGAACTGGACACAGTACTCCAGTTGTGGCCTCACCAGTGCAGAGTAGAGGGGGAGAATGACTTCCCTTGACCTGCTGTCCTAAGGAATCTAAGCTGTGCCTGATTTCTGGCTTGGTTCCTCCCAACTCCTGCCGTGCTCCTGGGGATCCAACGTGTCCCTCCCCATCACCAAATCGGACACAGCTGAGAATATAACACAGCTTTACTGTATGAAATGGCACTAAGAGGGCGCGTGGCTCAGCGGCGGGGGCACGGTTTGCCTTGGCCTTTAGCACAAGCGACGTTGGGTACAAAGCGACACAGACTCCGTGGCAAACACAGGTTGAAGAGCCGTGGCCGGGCACCGACAGTCGCCTGGAGCTGGC